AAAAAGCATGGTAGTCCGATCACACGGTCCCCCGAGTCCCCGTGCTTTAGGTGTTAGCTGGCGATCACACGGCGATGCTGCAGTGTGGCAAAGAAGCGGCACGATCACACAAGCGTTTCGCATTTGTGCGCATGCGCAGTTCCGCGAAGCAGCCCTGCTTTCGGTTTCGCGTTTGAGTGCATGCGCTTACAAAAAAAATCCGGTTTGCGGCGGGACGTGGACGGGCGCCGGATGCGACGGGATACTAGCGCTCCCGCGATCAGACGCCGGCCTGTGCCGCGCGTTTTCGGGATACTAGTGCACTTTCCTTGGTACTTTTTGACTCCGCATCTTCGGCCGGATGCCACAGGTTGGCCACGGGTGCACTATGCTTCCCAGATGTTGCAGTGTGATCGTGCCCCGAAAATTCGCCCGACATTCGTGCCTTTTGCGCAGCAAATCTTCCGTGTGACCGGGGGGCCTTTGTTAGTTGGAAGAGATGTGACCTGTATGGCCCAGGCTACCCTGATCTCATCAGATCTGGGAAGCTAAGCAGGGTCGGCCCTGGTTAGTACTTGGATGGGAGACCACCAAGGAAGTCCAGGGTTGCTACGCAGAGGCAGGCAACGGCCAAAGCACCTCTGAACGTCTCTTGCCTTCACCCTACCCGTCGGCTGTGACTTCACAGCACTTTACACAATAGGCAGAAACAGTGACAACGGTTACTGTTATTATAATGATTTTCCAACTCCGTCCTTAACTTAGGGAACTCACCTCCCAAAGAAAATGAGACAAAGGAATGGAAGAATGGCTAAACGCGCCTCCATGTTCAGAGACAGTGTACCTCTGAATACCAGGTGCAAAACCAAAGGAGAGCTAGTTTGGTGTAATAATAATAATAATCATCATCATCATCATCATCATCATCATCATCATCATCATCTTTCGATTTATTAATCGCTCAATCCTGCAGAGCTGCTGGCTCTGAGCGATTTACAGTTACTCATTTCACAAGGGACTAACAATGATTCATGGGGGTAAAGGAGGACAACTTATATAAATCGTTAAATCGCACACGTTCGCAGCCGACGGGGATTTTGTTCAGCTGTAGACTAGACATGTTCCAGCCGGCATTTTTCACTCGGCTTGGCTTGATGACGTCAGCTTTCTCCAGGTCTGATTCGAGTCGCAACGCTGCACTGCCGCCGCCTGGCCGGAACGGCCCATTACAGGCTTCTCGATGCCAAAGAGATCTTTCTAGGCTTCCGATCTTACGAGCTGGACATTCCGTTCGCCGGCTAACACCTCCCCCACCGGGGGGTTTAGTGTGCCCACCCTCTCTAAGGAGTGGTACCCATTTTATCTACTCGCCGAAGCTTTCGAACCGCTGGGTGGACGGTGAGCTGGGGACAAGGCTGGTAGCTCACACCAGCACGAGGCTAGAACTGACAGCCGTTCAGTTCAGCTCAGATGTTACTATAACCAGAGGATAAATCCCCTGTGCCACCGCTTATGGTTAAGTGCGCGGACTCTAATCTGGGAGAACCGGGTTTGATTCCTCACTCCTCCACTTGCAGCTGCTGGTATGACCTTGGGTCAGTCACAAGTTCTCTCAGAGCTGTTCTCTCAAGGGCAGTCCTCGAGAGAGCTCTCTCAGCCCCGCCTACCTCACAGGGTGTCTGTTGTGGGGAGGGGAAGGGAAAGGAGTTTGTAAGCTGCTCTGAGACTCTCAGTGAAGGGCGGGGCATCGATCCAACAATCATCATCATCATCATTTCCTCCTCCTCCTCTTCTTCCCTTGCCTGTGGGACATCTGGGTAGCCACTGTGGGAAACAGAACTCTTGGAGTAGATGGACCATTTGCCTGATCTAGTGGAGTTCTTCTTCAGTGGTTTGGATCTTCTGGAAGGTTTCCACGGACAGAAGAGATTTCCGTTCAGAGAGTGTGAGTTCCGCCTTTCCTCTGTGTCTCCAAATGTCTCCCAAAATCTTCTCCTGGGGCACAGGGGACACCCAGGAACACCGGGAGGAGGAGTCAGACATCTGCCGGGGGTGGTGGTGGAAGAATCAGTGAAAATCCCACCCCCTCCCTGCAGAAATTCGGTGTATCCAAGCCAGTAAGTGTGGATACTCGCTGTGGAGTCTTGTGAGCAAATATTCTGTCTTGTGAGCTGCTGGCATTAAAGTTGTGAGCGAGCGATTTGGCTGCTACATAAATTTAGTTTGCTCTGGAGCCCTCCTTCCTGAGCGGAGACAAAAATGTGTGAGCCGGAGGCTAAAAAACGGTGAGCTAGCTCACGCTAACTCACGCTAATTTTTCCGAAAATTTCTGTTTCCCCCCCGGAAAAAAATTGGAAAAAACCCGGGTTTTTTTCCGAGCTTCAAAATTTCCAGAAATTTTTCATCTCTAGTCTGAGGCCCCCAAGGTAAGGGTCCAAAAGTTACCTTTTCGGCTCTGCCCTCCGTCTCTGGCAGCTGCGTCCTGCACCCGCTCATGCAGCCAAACTGCTCCGCACCTCCCGAGTAAGCCTCCACGCAGGCTGCAAATGGGAAGGGGTGGGGAGGGGAGAGACAATAAGGTCTTATGGTTTTGTTCCAGAAAAGCGGGACGAGGCCGCACAGAGTCTCCCGAGGGTGCATGGACGAAGAAACAGTGCTTCTCTGCATGCAACATTGTGGGAACGAACAAAAAAGAAATGGCCGTCTCTCGCCCTGGCTACAGCCACCTTGTCCTCTCTGATCCTGGGTCACGGCACCTCGTTCCCCTTCTGACTGCTGCCCAAATCAATCACTTCTCTCTCGGTTCTGACAGGCCGATGCCATTCCTAAAGTCAGTTTCCTGTCCCCAGCACACACTCCTCCTCTAGACCACCAAAGCCCTCCCACCTAGGCGTCATGCCCGCCAATGGCTGTTGCCTATGCTTCTTTAAATGAGAACCTCCACATTCAGTGGCAGTCTACCTCTGAATACTAGATGGGGACAATCAGGGAGGGAAGACCCCGGCCTTCAAGCCCTGGCTGGAAAGAGAATCCCAGGTTTATATGGACCTTCTGTATGACCCAGCCATATTTGGGATCTAGGAGCCCCAGGTTCAAAATCCCCGCTTTGTCACAGTGCTCCCTGTGTTTGGTGTGGTAGTTAAGTGTGCGGACTCTAATCTGGGAGAACCGGGTTTGATTCCCCGCTCCTCCACTTGCACCTGCTGGATGACCTTGGGCAAGCCATAGTTCTGATAAGAGCTGTTCTTGAAAAAAGAGCTGTTTCTGTCAGAGCTGGTTTTTTCTGCCTGTACACAACTGCACAGAACAACCTGTGTCCCCAAACAATCTGTGCCCCCTTTTCTCGCCCGGATCTTGCAGTAAAGGTTCGGGTAAAGGTTTCCCTCGCTCGAAAGCCAGTCGAATCTGACTCCAGGGGCCGGTGCTCATCTCCGTTTCCAAGCCGAAGAGCCAGCGCTGTACGAAGACATTTCTGTGGTCATGTGCCCGGCATGACTAAACACCAAGGCACACAGAAAACTGTTACCTTCCCACCAAAGCGGTACCTGTTTACATACTTGCAATTTCTTGCTTTTGAACTGCTAGGTTGGCAGGAGCTGGGGCTAGAGACGGGAGCTCACTCCATCACATGGCACTCGGGTCTCAAACAATGCTCCCTCTAAGCTGTGGAGTCTTGTGAGCAAAAAATTCTACTTTGTGAGCTACTGGCATTACAGTTGTGAGCGAGTGATTCGGCTACTGCATAAATTAGTTTGCTCTGGAGCCCTCCTTCCTCCTGAGCTCAGGCAAAAATGTGTGAGCCAGAGGCTAAAAAACGGTGAGCTAGCTCACACAAACTCAGCTTAGAGGGAACACTGGTCTCAAACTGCCGAACTACAGACCTTCTGGTCTGCAGCTCAGCCTCTTAACCTCTGAGCCTCACCGCGGCCCGATCTTGCATTCGATTCTCCCAAATGCAAAACCCATTTGGCAGATATTGGGAGGGGTTACAGGGCTCTTTTTGTAGCAGGAACTCCTTTGCATATTAGGCGACACCCCCCCTAATGTAGCCAATCCTCCAAGAGCTTACAGAGCTCTTTTTACAGGGGCCACTGTAAGCTCTTGGGGGATTGGCTACACTAGGGGTGTGTCGCCTAATGTGCAAAGGAGTTCCTGCTACAAAAAGAGCCCTGAAGGGAACCTAATATTGATGCTTCCCCCCTTTCTTTCGTCCTTGCTCTCTCCGCCGCCTTCCCTAGAACAAACTGTGATCTTTTAATCGCTTTTGTATAAGCCCTCAGTGTATTTAACTCCTCCACAAGCCACACGATAGCCGAATGGCTGTCTTCCAAGACTGAAATTACTTACTCGAGACTAGACCCTCCCAGGATCCAGCTGCAAGGCTTTTCTCTACTGTTGCACCCTCGGAGCCTCCCCCTTCTCCTTCCCCCTTCAGAAGCAAAACCTGCTTTAATCCTTGCAGAGCCGCAGACCCAGGAAAGAGGCCTCCTGCCCTCTCAAACCTCTTCAGACCTCTCAGAAAACAGAGTGGGTGAGCCGGCCACCTGGACGAATTCCTGCGGGGCTGTCCCTTTAAGAAAGGGGGCGGAGCCCCGAATAGCCCCACCCGTCGCTACGCGCCTGAGAAGGTCCAAAGCACAAGAGGGGCAGCGGCCCTACGTGGAGGAAGGGCCCTCGATAGGGTCACCAAACAGGAGCTGGGGAGAGGAGGCTACACAGACGTTGCCTTACTTGATTCGCACTCGGCTCTGGTTGCGTTCAGCTCGGCGGCGGGGTCCACAAAATGACAGATGGAAAACAGCCGGCAGCCACGGTAACAGGCATTGAGAACAGCATCCTAGGAGGAGGGAGGGAGAGGAAAAGGGGAGAGAAATTAGGACTGAAAGGCTATGGATGCATTCCCCACAATTCCGCTCGCTGGGAGTCCGCGCGGGAGACGACACCCGTCAGGGCCAGCCTCAGTCCGTATTGTTGCTGTTGGAGAATCGCATCTATGAAAGCCCACTAGGATGAGCAGGGCCCCGGAACTGGGCTGGGACTGGGCAGGTGAGGGGGCCGGCCCAAACAAACAGTCCCCTCAGTCACTTGGAGGCCTTCCTACCAGCAATTCCCACCCTCGTCTTATTAGGTAAAGGTAAAGGTTTCCCTTGCTCGAAAGCCAGTCAAATCCGACTCTAGGGTTGCGGTGCTCATCTCCGTTTCAAAGCCGAAGAGCCAGCGCTGTCCGAAGACGTTTCCGTGGTCATGTGGCCGGCATGACTAGACACCAAGGCGCACGGAACGCTGTTACCTTCCCACTGAAGTGGTCCCTATTTATCTACTTGCAATTTCTTGCTTTCGAACTGCTAGGTTGGCAGGAGCTGGAACTAGAGACGGGAGCTCACTCCGTCATGCGGCACACTCGGGTCTCGAACTGCTGAGCGACCGACCTTCCACAGCCTGCAGTTCCGCGTCTTAACCACTTGAGCCACCGCAGCTTATTAGCACAGCACGGAGACAAGAAGACAGATTCTCTACCTTAAGGACTGGGTCCTCAACGTGGTGCCCATGGGCACGAGGTGCCCAGTAGCACCTTTACCAGTGCCCACCATGTGTTTTTAGAAAGTGGATGTGGGCGGGGTGGGTCCTGACCAGCAGGGCTTCTGATTGGATGCTGGAGACCTGATTGGCCGAGCGGATTAAAATAATATTGTTTCCACGGCAGCTGCCACCACAGGGTTAGAATCATAGAATCATAGAGCTGGACGGGACCTCCAGGGTCATCTAGGCCGACCTCCTCCTCAATGGGGGAAATTTACAAATACCTCCCCCCCACCCCCAGTGACCGCCGTTCCACGCCCAGAAGATGACAAGAAACCCTCAGGATCTCCAGCCAAACTGGCCTTGGTTGCACTCTCTCTCACTCACTCCTCTTCCCCAGTTTATTTTTTTTTAATTACTCAGGGCTATTTTGGGGCAGGAACGCACAGGAACGGAGTTCCGGCTGGCTCCCGAGTTGGCCACGCCCAGCAGGAACTCATTAGCATAATAGGCCACACCCAACAGCAGAAACTCATTAGGATTGGCTACGTTAGGGGTGTGTGGCCTAACATGCAAAGGAGTTCCTGCTCCAAAAAAAGCCCTGGGTTTTGACAACAAACAAGGTAAACAGAATAAGAAGCAAAAGGTGGGTGTGGCTGGATAACCACACTTCTGGCAACATGGGGGTGCGGCCTAATGTGCTAATGAGCTGTGCTGTCAGGGGTGTGGCCTAATATGCTAATGAGTTTCTGCTGTTGGGTGTGGCCTATTATGCTAATGAGTTCCTGCTGGGCTTTTTCTACAAAAAGAGCCCTGAAATTACTCCTATTGTTTCCTGCATTTGGGGCTCCTCTGTGTGTGAGCGTGTGGCACTGACTCCCATGGTGGCCATTTTCTGGCTCCACCCACCACTCTCAGTCAGAATTACAAAGCCTGCGGACATCTGCTCTAGGAGCTTACGATGTAAACAAGGCACTGGCCTACTCTACAGGGCTGTTGTAAGACATCTCAGACACCTTCACTGCTATAAAAGATTCCAGAAAGTCGAAGTCTGACTGCTCGGTATACAAACCGGAGGGGGGAAAATAACCCAGCAGGGTGTGTGTCTGTGGGGAGGGAATACAGATCAAGTCTTTGTTTTAAGTTATCAGTGTTATTCTTGCTGAACCCCAAACAATTCACGTTTGAGTTGCCTTTTGGACCTCTATATTTCAAACATTAATGTAGAATCTGTGCCAATAGTTCTCTTACAAAGTCCGTTACCAAGTATGGGCAGGAAAAGAGACCTTCTCCCCCCCCCCCAATTTCACGATCCCACATTTCCAAAGCAGTACTTAATAAAACAAAAATGAGCTTATTCTTTAGGGGCAAGCCAATGGCACGGTAGGGGGCTTTAGAATCAGATGGGATACTAACACTGCCTTGTGAAGAAACCTACAAAAGAGTCTTGCGCACAACGGCCCTAGCAGAAAGGCAATCTTTTCTATTTGCCAAACACCCCTGGCTCACCTAGAGACAATCCTCCACTCACCATAGGTAACCAGCCAAGTGATAGCTCATTTACTTATGCCTAACAGCGTTCCGTGCGCCTTGGTGTCTAGTCATGCCGGCCACATGACCACAGAAACGTCTTGGGACAGCGCTGGCTCTTCGACTTGGAAACGGAGATGAGCACCGCATCCCTAGAATCAGATTCAACTGGCTTTCGAGCAGGGGAAACCTTTACCTTTACTATGTCAACACAGCCGCAAGATATTTTTGTCTATTGCTGAGCTAAAACCACAAAGCCCCCCATTTCTAGCAAGGCACAATGCATGGACTGGACTTGAGGATTTTGGCTTGTTTGGTGAGAAGTTTAACATTACAAAGCAGTCAACTGCTCCCTCTGAGCTGTAGAGTCCTACTGTGGGCAAAACTTCTGCTACTGAGACAAGAATGTGTGAGCTGGAGTTAGCTCACACTAACTCAGCTTAGAGGGAACCTCTCAGAAATGACAATTACCACGCTAGAGAAGAAATGAAGTCTGTCTGTCTGGGCATTCCTGTTTCCAACAGGGAACAGCCAGACACCACTAAGAAGCCAGCATACAAGAGACGATGCTACTGTTCAGCTGTCACCGCTGATGATCAATCGCTCATCCTCTCCTCCCAGAATCCTTTGTTTTTTTTAAAAAAAATCCCCAGGGCTATTGACTGTCCCCTTGTCTTGCTGCAAGATGTTCTTTTAAGTTCACTGGGCATCAACTTTCTTCCACCTGCTCTGAACCCAATAAAAAACCAGCGAGCCCTGACTTCAGGGTTACCAACAGACCTGGGGAGGAAATAATGTCCTGGCCCTTTAACAGAGGCTTAGAAATGGGCTGATAATCTTTTCCCGGCAGGGAGGTAAAACAGCCACCCAGAAGCCGAGAGGAAAAGAGAGATATAAATATTTTAATAATCAAGGGTAAAGTTAAAGGTTTTCCTTGCTCGAAAGCCAGTTGAATCCGACTCTAGGGTTGCGGTGCTCATCTCCGTTTCAAAGCCGAAGAGCCAGCGCTGTCCGAAGACGTTTCCGTGGTCATGTGGCCGGCGTGACTACACGCCGAGGCGCACGGAACGCTGTTACCTTCCCACCGAAGCGGTACCTATTTATCGACTTGCAATTTCTTGCTTTCGAACTGCTAGGTCAGCAGGAGCTGGGACCAGAGACGGGAGCTCACTCCGTCACACAACACTTGGGTCTCGAACTGCTGAACTACAGACCTTCCGGTTTGCAGTTCAGCGTCTTAACCACTTGAGCCACCGCGGCCCCCCTTAATAATCAAACATACGAGCAAATATTTCCTGATAAATCACATTCCACGAAGCCTCTAAATAAAGGGACGGGACAGTTTTCTCCAAGCCTACTTGACTGTGGTATTATTATTATTATTATTATTATTATTAGGGTTTATGAATTGCCCAATCCCTGCTATTGCAATCTAGGCGATGTACAACATATAAAAATATATCAAAAGTCATGAAAACAGAATGTAAAAATAAAATCAATACAATAAATCTAAAAGTCAGATGGCCAGTTAATAACTATTTCCCATTCTGGACTGCCGGCCCCCTTGCAGGCAGGGAGGAAGAGGAACAGATAAGTTTGGAGAGTAAGGGGGGGGGGTGTTGCCAGCCAGTTTGAAAACCGTCGCTGCCCTCAACCAAGGGCCTGGCGGAACATCTCTGCCTTACCAGCCCTGTGGAACAGCATCCGGTCCCGCAGGGTATTGGGCAGAAAGTTCCACCAGGTTGGAGCTAGGGCCGAAAAGGACCTGGCCCTGGTCGAGGACCAGCCGGATGATTTTGTGGGTTCTTGACCACACAGCACCATCCCTGGTGTAAATGGCATTTGAGGTCCCTGTTCTCCTCTGCTGCAGGGGACAACTGACACCTTAACAAAAGGGGAGGGGGACTCTGTCACAGATCCAGCAGAAAAGCTGGTGGAAGGGGAGGGCTGGGCAGCTCCAAAGCAGAGGTGTCGAACTCATAAGAACATAAGAGAAGCCAAATGTTGGATCAGGCCAGTGGCCCATCTGGTCCAACACTCTGTCACACAGTGGCCAAAAATACCCGGGGGCCATCAGGAGGTCCAGCAGTGGGGCCAGGGCACTAGAATTCCTCCCACTGTTGCCCCCCCCCCAAGCACCAAGAATACAGAGCATCCCTTGCCCCAGCCGGAGAGTTCCTATCTATACCTTGTGGCTAATAGCCACTGATGGACCTCTGCTCCATATGCTTATCTAATTCCCTCTTGAAGCTGTCCATGCTTGTAGCCGCCACCACCTCCTCTGGAAGTGAATTCCATGTGTTCATCACTCCTTGGGGGAAGAAGGACTTCCTTTTATCCATTCTAACCCGACTGCTCAGCAATTTCATGGAGTGCCCACGAGTTCTTGTATTGTGAGAAAGGGAGAAAATTACCTCTTTCTCTACCTGCTCTATACCATGTATAACCTTATAAACCTCGATCATGTCACCCCTCAGCCGTTGTTTCTCCAAGCTAAAGAGCCCCAAGCGCTTTAACCTTTCTTCATAGGGACAGTGTTCCAACCCTTTTATCATTGGAGTTGCCCTTCTCTGCACTTTTTCCAAAGCTATAATATCCCTTTTGAGGGGTGGTGACCAGAACTGCACAAGTACTCCAAATGAGGTCGCACCCTCGATTTATACAGGGGCATGGTGATACTGGCTGATCTGTTTTCAATTCCCTTCCTAATAATCCCCAGCATAGCGTTGGCCTTCTTTTATTGCAGTTGCACATTTGTTACGAGGGCCGGATCTGACATAAGTGTCA